GGGGGTTTATTGTATTACAGTAATAATAAGATCTTAGGTACAAGTTTGTCATAATGTCACCATACCAAAAAAATAACGGTGCTAAATGGCTTCACTTTACTTATAGGATGAATTCACATAAACTGGAACACATTTTGCCATTGAGATTATGTGCCAATTATCCTGAATTAACCCTAACAATTTCATCAGATTTTGGGGTGAAATATGACCCGGGTGTGTTTTGTTGAGACTGACCCCCGCACACTCTCACTGTTCCTGTTTCTCCAGTGCAGTGCCCGTCACCAGCAGCAGGTTGCAGGCCATGAACTGCACATTGAGGATGTTGCTAGTGCTGCCTGTGTACTGTCCGATTAGCTCGCTGCTGGAGCCATCGCTGGGGGCGCTGCCGTGGGCGCCGCGTATGTCCCAGACCCGCACTGAGTTGTCCATGGAGGCGGAGGCCACCAGACTGCTGTCCTGACTGAAAGAGAGACTGGTGATGCTGTCGCTGTGACCCCGCAGGTCTTTGAACAGGCTGCCGGACGCCAGATCCCACAGCTTCAGTCTCTGGTCCTCTCCGGCCGAGGCCAGGTATTTGCCGTTGGGCGAGAAGGCGAGCGACAGCACGGGCCCGCGGTGCCCGGTGAACAGCCTCACGGACGCCCCCTGCTGCGTGCTCCACAGGCGCACGGTTTTATCCGTGGAGCCCGTCGCCACGTAGTTGGAGTTCGGGTGGAATTTGACACAGTTGACGTCGGAGAGGTGTCCGGCATACAGACGCAGCGGATAGGTGCGTGCGAAGCTCCAGAGGCACGCGGTGCGGTCGTGGGACGCCGTGGAGAAGTAGAGGCTGCAGGGACTGACGTCCACGTCCCAGACGGGGTAGGCATGGCCGCGGTACAGGACGGTGTTCGTGAAGCTGCTCAGGTCCCAGAGGCGCACGGTGGAGTCCTCCGAACAGGACAGCAGGCCGGAGCCGTCCGTCAGGAACGCCGTGCAGTACACGGGACCGCTGTGAGCACGCAGGGTCTTTATCTCACTGCCCAAGGCATCCTCGTCATCGGCCTGATTACAAACAAAGACACATGTGAAAAACTCAAGATGGACGGAAACACTTTAAACCACTTAAATATGTGCATAATATAATAGCAAATATGTGACCCTGGACCACAAAACCAGTCATAAGGGT